AAAATGAAAACAGAGAATCCCATAAATATTAACCATTTTGAAGAAAATTGAGAGGAAGGTTCTAATGTCAATTCGTCAAGTGAAAACGGTGTCTATAAATTTAGTAAATCTCATAAATAAATAATCATTTCTTTTATTAATAGATTCACAAATAGATTTTTTAATGAAGAACAATATTATAATTCGACTCTTAATGGCGCTTCACTTTCCTTAATTTCGATTTCACCGCAATCAGCGATAACAACATCTACTTTTGGACGATCATTGGCACCCTTTTCAACATTTTCAATCTGATATACTATATCCATTCCTTCCAATACATAACCAAAAACTACATGTTTACCATCAAGCCAACTTGTTGCAATAGTGCAAATGAAAAACTAGAAATAATACGTTAACATTTTCACATAGAATTATTAACATAGTATAAAAATATAGAAATAATAAAATAGCATACTTGAGAACCATTCGTGTCAGCACCAGCATTAGCCATACTAAGAACACCAGGACCAGTATGACGAAGTTTAAAGTTTTCATCAGGAAATCTATCGCCATAAATAGATTTTCCACCGGTTCCATCATGTTTAGTAAAATCACCACCTTGGATCATGAAATTCTAAAAGAAATTTTAACATTTTAATATCAAAAATTTTAAAATTAAAAGATAATTCAAATATATACCTTAATCACACGATGGAATTTTGACCCCTTATATCCAAATCCTTTTTCACCAGTAGCCAGTGCAAGAAAGTTTTCAACGGTTTTTGGTACAGTCTAAAAAATTGAGTAATTAAAAAAAATAAATTTTAGAATAAACTTAGTATAGATAACAATAAATTTTAAGCAAATTATTACATACTTTTCCATATAATCCGATAACTATACGACCTAATTCCTTATCGCCATGCTTAATATCAAAGTATACTTGAATTTTCGGATAAAAAAAATGTGAATACCTTTGTGTAAATTGGTCAAATAAAGAGTACATTAACTTCGTTACCTTTATTAGTGATAACTGGACCTTTTGCTGCTGTTACAACTGTTACAGCTGTAAGATAGAATAGGAAAATACTACATAAGAAACCAACTCGGTTGAAAAGAGATGCCATTTTATACGACAATTTTTATGGTTTAGAGAAAGCTTTTTTGATTTTTTTTTATATCGATATGTATACGAAAATTTTCGATCAATCACGTGAGGTTGATTAAAAATTCTAACTCTTAACGTTTAATTTAATTTCTTCACCGGATTTGGAGTAGTTCTCTGGTTTTACTTCCAAGTTAGTGCACACGCGTAGGTTAAATACATACCACTAGTAAATCCACTTTGAACAGGCCAATTATATCGCAGAAAAAAAAATATATATTTAATTTGACTAGCCTATAGCAGATAGCTTTTCTACAAACCACTAAAGAAAATTTATTTAATTATTTAATCATTCATGATCTACTTTTGTTTTCGAAAAATTATAGTTTATATAGATTGTCATCTAATTTAAAACATGTTCAAAGAGCATGCTTTAATTTTATAATAAATCAATTTATTACTATTATCGTTATTGTTTTTATAATACAAGTTATACCTTAATATCAGATATTGGAGTATTTCACATACTACGTAACAAAAAGCCAACAGTACCTCAACAGTGGCTTAGCGATTTTACTACGTAACAGTGGCTTATCTAGAATTTACTATGCTATAAGTAGGGTTGTGAAATTACCGTAATTTTTACGTAATTTTGTGTAATTTTTCGTAAGATTCGGTAAATTGGATTTACTTGGAAATGTAATTTTAATCATATGATATGTAAAGTTTATTAAATTTTTCGTTCGCTAATTATCACATGATGTCGATACGTAATTATTCATTCGCTTAATTATTTTTGTCATATAAAGCATAAAATATAAAATAAAGTAAATCGAACCTAAAAATTTTATAACATACTGTGAGACCCGAAGAATGGTTAAGTTGGGTCCGGAACGGCATAACGTGACCACAGGTCACGGGGGTAAAATTTTATAAGTTACATTTGTTATAAATCACATAAATTACATAAATTGCATTTATTACATTTATTACATTTATGTGACTTATGTGATTTACGTAACTTATGTGATTTATTGGATATATGTGATTTATTAGACATATTACTTTTATGACATTTATGTAGTAAATTAGATAAATTGCATTCGAATTATACATTATAAATAAAGGCCGTGTTGGCCCATGGAGGAGAACAACTCCTAAGTTTGCCTTAAGTAAACTGAGTTCTTTATTAAATAATATTAAAGTCCAATATATTTTGAATCCCGAATAACCCACTTTCGCTAAACTAATCCCTAAACCCCGGTCTACTGTTTAACGTAACCTAACAGTACGATCCCCGCCAACTTGTCCACGTGATACCTACTCTATAATTTTTCCGGTTAAGTCTTAACGTACCAAGACTAACCGCGGTAACTCGTCCAACTAACTCGATGGATTGTGGTTAGTTGTGGTTAATCAGTAAAGTCCAGTTACCCGACGTACTGTGGTAATTGTGGTTATAAGTTTAGGATACACGACGTACAGTTGTATCCTGGTTGTCCAAATCCCGAAGATCAAGTCTCCACGTGGTTCCCTTTAAATAAATAAAAGATTAGTATTAGTGAAGTAACATCCCAAGGCATAATCACCAAGAAAACTATAGTACTCACCTACGAACCCAAACCACCGACCAAATCTAAACGCCCTCTTTCGACTAAGCCATTCGTAGGTTATGCAAGGTCTTCCATAGTCAAGCGCCGTATTTCCCCGGTGGCAATACTACTATACTAAAAATGGTTAAAAAAAAGAAAGTTGAAATGTGGGATCAATATACTATGCGGATAGACGAAAAGGGAAAAGAACGTTATAAATGCAAAGCATATAGTAAGGAAGTGGCAAAAAATGCAACAAGATTACAGGAGCATTTGGATATATGTTCTTTGCAAAATTCAACAATAAATGAAGCTTCAAATGGTAATAAGAAACGAAAACAATCAACATCAAATAATAGTAATCATGATCAGTGAATTGGAATCATGGAGTAAAAATAATCGCGAAACAAAATTAATATGTTTGCAAAATCTTCATATCGTGTGAATGAAATGATTTAAATAACGTATAGTATAATAATTCGTTACACACTTCATATTTAAATATAATGGTATTGTAACGGATGTCTTAGATATTCAAATAAATCTAATGAATAAAACTAGGCCAAATTTATGTAATCCTAGTACTTTATATCATGTGACCAAACTTACGTGTAATTCGATTTACTGAAACAGTAAAATTACAAGTAATTTAAGATTGTAATTTTTGTAACACAACTCTAATCTTTATTCAAAGTTTTAAAATTAAAAAATTTAATCAATTTTAATCAGGTGGTCCCGTGATTTCTCGCGCTTCGGTGATTTCGTGTCAAATGTAAACAAAGTAAAAATGATTTGCATATAAATAACGA